CTCTGTGTGTGTCTCTCATGAATAAATAAATAAAATCTTTAAAAATAAATAAATAAAATAGACATATCTTTTGGAGTTATCATCATCAAATATAATACAGATAATTAGCTTTTATTCTACCTGAATTTATTAAATTCACGTTGTAATTGTTGCAATTTGTTGACAAAATGACCTAAAATAATGACTGATTTTTATCTAATGAAGTTTACGTGGGTAAATGCTGAGAATAAGTAGGTTGAATAGATAAAAGGGTGTACAAATAAAATTTTAAATAGCTTCCAAAATCTTCAGTAACCTGAAACTTTGAAGTTTTGTTAGGTTAAATAATAAATTGGCTTAGTTTCTTAGGATATTCAAGTCTTGACAAAATATGTTAATTGTTTAACATTAATTACTAAATACAGGTTTATCTGATTTTGGCTTCTTATTACAGAAAACTAAATATACTTGGGTCTGCTAATAACTATGTCTTATGCTTTATTAAAAAGTTGTACTATAAAAAAATCACATTCCTATAAAATATAAAATGTATTCACAAATATACCAACCTAAATAATTCTGGTCTAATAGTTCACAATTTGTTGGTTACTACTGAGTTTTCACTGGAGAAAGGTTTCTAAGAGTTAAAGTTCTGATGAATGGAATTGAGACTGCTGGAAATGATAAGGAAAGTAACTGTATATAGGAAAACAGGAGATGTATAAGAAAGGTATGAGGAATAAAATGCATTTTTGTTGAGGGAAAGAAAGTATTTTTTCCCAAAACGAGATTGGCTATTTATAGAGAGGTGAGGCTTATGAAATAATTTGAGTTAAAAAAGAAATTGTAGGAAGGTTATAAAGGGGAATCTTTGGGAAAAACTATGCATGGTCAGGACTCACTAAGATTGGAAGAAATGAATTTTTAAAATATCCTGATATAAGATTGGAATTTGTTTTTTTCTCTGGAAATTGGCTTAGCTTTGTTAAAAAGACAAAAGCTTCTTTTATATTTGGTCTGTTCTTTTTTTTATATATTTTTTTATATTTGGTCTGTTCTTGATAAGAAATTATAAACAAGCTATTTTATCTTTATCTGCCCAGAAAACCAAGGTTTCTCTGTTTTCATTGGGTCTTTGATTACTAAATCTTCTCAATATTTAAAGAAGCTGTTTTGCTAACAACCAAGTAACCCTCTGTTTTTGCCTTTGGGATCTTTTATTGTCACCTTGGTTAAATACATGATAAAGTATTAAAATTTTATAGTGACCTACGATCCTATTTAGGCATACCATTTAGAATCTTCTGAGGTTCTTAACAAACTTCCTAAAAATTCAAATTCTAAATAATCTTGACTAATTAGGTTTGTTTATTTGGTATGTTAAGTTACATTGGAAGCATTGTCAAACAATGATTAATTTTATGAGGTTATATTATGTGTGTAAATGTTATGATGGTTCTAAAAGTTATGTAAGATTCTTAAAGTATTAATATGTCCTGATATAATGTCATTACATGTAATTCTAATTGGTAAAACATTGTGTGCCACAGAAATAACTGGATTTCCTTGTCAACCACATTATAATAAAGTCTTATCAGATTTTTAAACATGGCGATTTTTTAAAATAATTTTTTAAAAGATTCATTCATGATAGACACACACACACACACACACACACACACACACAGAAGCAGAGACACAGGCAGAGGGAGAAGCAGGCTCCATGTGGGGAGCCCTATGTGGGAGTCGATCCCGTGACTCCAGGACTGCGCCCCGGGGCCAAAGGCAGGCGCCAATCCGCTGAGCCACCCAGGGATCCCCCAAACATGGCGATTTTTGACTCTTTTGTCATTTTCAGTTATTCTGATGCTCTTGCAAAATACATTTCAACTTCAAGGAGATTCATGAAAAGGACTTTTGACAGACACAAGTCTGATACTTTTAAGATCATAAAACTAAACTAACAATTTCCAGAACTAATGGAAAAACTGCATCCAAACAGAACAAGAATTAAAAAACATGGGACTAAATAAATTTTAAAATATAATCATATTTTTATAATTCTTATTTAAAACATTGCTGTTTCTCTAATGTTTGCTCTCCCAAATTTAAGAAAGCTTTTTCTCTTAAGATATCTTTTTTTTTAGATACCACACTGAATAACTTTTTTTTTTAATTTTTATTTATTTATGATAGTCACAGAGAGAGAGAGAGAGAGGCAGAGACATAGGCAGAGGGAGAAGCAGGCTCCATGCACCGGGAGCCTGATGTGGGATTCGATCCCGGGTCTCCAGGATCGCGCCCTGGGCCAAAGGCAGGCGCCAAACCGCTGCGCCACCCAGGGATCCCTCTCTTAAGATATCTATGACTTATAGAAATTTGATGAAAATATTCTTTTGTAAACAAACTGAAATACTTATTTTTTCCTTACCTGATCCCTGAGGAATTTGGAAACTGTCAATCAGTATTCTTTCTTTCATGGCAATTATCATTATTTGCATATATTCAATGAAAATTGATACTCTTTTAACAAGACACCATTGGAAACATCGGTTACTTTACCAAGGCTTTAAGTGGAATGCCATATTTAAGAAAGACACGCAAAGATTCAGTTATAACTAGATTGTTTTAAGGAACTCAGGTGGACTATATGGAACCAATAAAGTCCCTTGGAGATGTTGGCCTGGTACCTTGTTTAAAGAGTTCCCAGCAGTCATACCAGGTGAGTCAGAAATGTCACTTCCCGGAAGATGCAGGAACCTCAATATATTTCCAAGACCTCAGGAAGAGAAGAATTCAGCCAAATCTGCAGGTATTGTAGGCAAATCTGATGGCATATATTTGACCTGGCTTCTGGCCTTGAGAGGCTATTGGAAGTTTAATCTAAAATTCCTTGTAAAAACCTCTGGCAAAGCAGGTTTTAAAAGAATCTCTATTGTCAATCACTATTCTTGCTGTATTTATGTAAATAATTATGTAAAATGTTAATTAAATTTATTAAAACTAAACTTATCTTACAAACAAATCAGTCTTCATTTGACTATCTTCGACAGGAATGAGGGTGACTTTAGAGAGAAAAATTATATTTCAATAACACACTTTCATAGATGTAGATTCTAGTTCTGAATAATTATCTTTGAGAGTTTGTTATTTGCTTATAAACCTGGGCTGGAACTAAGTTCTGGTTTCTTCCAATATTTGTCTGTGACTCTCCAAAGTAAGGTTTCCAATCTTCTCCTATTCTCTTGTCTTAAAAATAATTAAGAACTAAAACTGCCCTTTTTCTTGAAGCCCTGTAAATTGAAACTAGACAACTCAAGAGAAACTTCAGTGAAATTGGCACAATAGCTCATATATAGTCAATCTTCATGCCTGCTGCTCTATGGGCCACTCAAAAAAAACCACTAGAAACATTTGAACTACAAACCATAAAAATCTACCAGATTGCCAGTGCTTACTCCCACTCCATCTGAGGATGCTTTGAGCCTGACATCTAAATGTCCTCTCATTGGGAGCATTTGGGACTCTGATATTGGGTTTATAATTTGCTCCAAGCATTAACCTTTGTTTTTGTTTCCATAGAATTGCCTCTTATTAATTTCTTAATTGCTTGCTGCACAAGCCAGAGTCTATATAATAGCTAATACCACTTTCTGTACCTATAATAACTCCTCCTTAGAAGTAAGAACCCAGAGGGACAAAATCAGGCAGCAAGCCACTTGGCTGCAATAGGCCTTTGCTCACAACATTTCATTTTTCCAAGGTGTCTGGGACTGGTTTACTGATCTCTTTTTCTTTTATACTGATCTATTCTTTTGGTATCAGATCAATTTTAGAGGGAATGATAAAATTTGACTTAACTCTACTGTTACTAGTCCTTAGACTATGGGATAAAGTTAATGATGCCATGTAGTGTCAAACAATGTAGAAAAATATGCAAGCTATGGGATAAGAAACCACCTCTATACTCCCTCCATGAGAACAAGGTAGCAAAAACTATGTCCTGCACTATATCAGATTTTTCCATTCCAAAGCCATAGTCTGTCCTAATTCAGTTTGGAGCAGTTACAGAAGATGGACTTCTACCTATATCCCATAGAAAGGAATGAAGGATTGACAACAGGGATTTATAATAGCACTCCTGCTGGTCTTAAGGGTTAAATTACTTCAAGATTATGCACTCCTTGTTTATTGACCTGTGTCCCTTTGTTTATAATAGAGTCAACCTATTTTCCTTGAGATTTTGTAGACCATTGGCCTTAAGGAATGAAGAACCAGACTATCCCAAAAGATAAGGCCTGATCACATTTGAAAATAGCTGCCATTGATGCCAGCAAGTCTGTTCAAGGTCATGTTGACATATGATTAACTGCCTGAGCACCAGCTTCTCCTGCACTCAGCCCCAACCATTTCCCAAACCTTCTCCTTTAAAACCCTCTGGGTTCATCTTGACTGGGAAGGTGGTCTTGGAGACATTAGTCCACCATCTTCCCACATTGTGACTTTCTGAATAAAGCAATCTTTCTTTTCTCACCATTACTTGTCTCTGGATATTGATTTTCACACGGAAAGCAGCCAAACCTGAGTTTGGAACTAGTTTTTTATTCCGTAACTTCAATACATCAAGATTCTTTGTAACAGGTCTTTGAGCATCTAACAGGAACTTGGAGCAAAGCTCCTCTTCTATTTCTAACAACAAATATGCTTTTTATACAAATTTGCTAAACCCTTCCAATTATGATAAACCTGAAGTAAGTTTTCCCTGAAAACATCTTATATTGCAAAGCACGTACTCAAATTTAAAAATTGCTGCCATAAAATAAAAGTACCTAGTAAGAGGTAACATTAATTAAAGGATTATATCCCATAAGGTAAAAAAAGAAATTTGCAAAATTTCATAAAGTATGCTATTTATGAAATGAGTTTTACATGCACAAATTTAAATATGCCACCTTCAAAACTTGGGGGTGTTGACAATATGTCTTCTTTTTTGAATATTACTTTCTAATCATTATTGTTACCTTTCATAGAATCCATGCCTCCCACAGCATAAAGTGCCCCTACAGTTGATTTTCTAGGCTTTGTCCGAGGGCTTTGCATCATAGGTCTTTTCTCAGGTAAGAGATGATACTTCATAGCTTCCATTAGGAGCTTCTGACATTCAAGATCACCAGTAAACATGGAGCTATTTTCAAGATCCACCAGTAACTGAAAAGTAATGATTCATGGTATATGAAGTAAAGAATCCACCACTAAAAAGAGCATATTTTTGCTTATATAACTTTGGAGAAAACATGAGCTAATTCAAATGTAAAAGTGTTTGCATTTTAAATTGCTTAGTAACATTTTTATGTCCACTTATGATGTAAAATAGTTAAAGATCTCATGGTAGTAGCTACTGATCTGTTCAGATTTATTTGATATATATTTTTTTCAATAGATACTCATAGAATAACAAGAAGTGAGAGTGAAAAGACACTCATAAAATGGGTCCCCTTCAAGGGACTGGCTATGTCTACACAAAATAGGCATCTTTCAGTCTATTGCATGTAGCTAATCAAACAGTTATTGGTGAACTAAGAGAAGTTGGTATAAACATGACCAGTTAAAATAAAGTAATATCACCTATAAAGAACTGCATCTTTATCAAGTCACTTTTATAAGTATTTTGAAAGTGGATGTTTTTTATCTATACTTGTACATGTGTATATCAGAAAAGAATATGTGTTAATAATTAAGTAATATTAGATGATAAATGCTTTATGACCATCATTGCCTGGAAGACAATAAGACCTCAATTGAATGGGATAAAATCTAAGTAAAATATTTTTCCTGAGATGAGCTGAGGAGACTCAAGAGCCTGTTTCAGAATTTTACCAAGGGTCATTTATATTGGTTCATTAGAGTTTTGGGTCTACAGTATCATAGGACACTGAAAGGAATTGTAAGCAGTTTGTTGGAGTGGAAATGCTAATCTCTTCACATAAAACTTCCCTGAGGTTTCCTGTTCTGCAGTACTTAACCCTAGCTTAGTTTTCATTCCACCTGTAACATCTTATGGATTACTATTTGACTTGGCTGGTGAGACCCCAGGCATCTCCTTAATGCATATGTTGCTGAAAATTTATTTGAAAACTGGGCTATATAACTTTTTTTTCAAAATATTCTTCAGGCATTTACCATCATTCTCTTCATATATTTCATTTCTAGAATATTTGTTAAAGTCACTATTAAAATTATATTGGAAGGTCTATTTTTTGTATGATATTACCCATCACTAACATTATTAGGAAAAGTTCACAGAAGTCCACACTTTAGACCTAAGACATACTCAGGGGTGGGAGGCCAAAGACCATTGGTTGTGTGTTTGTGCTGGAAATTTCTTCTTATTCCAATAAAGTAAGAGAAGCCAAACTAAGCAGTTTGCTGAAATAACATCATATAGACAAAGCAGTGTAAAATTAAGGACCTCTGATCCTTTACACCATTGTGTCTCAGTTTTTATGCATATCTAAGAATCATCTGGAGAACATATTAAAACACAGATTCCTTGGCCTCACAGCCATAAATTCTTTCAGTAGGTCTGTGGTGGGGGCCTAGGAAACAGAGTTTAAAACCAGCTTTCAGGCAATGCTATGCTGCTAGCTCAGGGCCATTTTGAGTAGCACTGCCTTAAAGAATCTAATAAATCATATTAGAACCTCTCATGAGAATAACACATATAAGTGTATACACATTCACACAAACATAAAATTTCCAAAAATTCGGAACCTTGGGTCTAAAATTACACATATATTTTAATGTTTCTCTTTTTGGTGTTACTATTGCCTTGCCCTTCGAATAAATTTGCTATACCCAAGAAGGCAGTCAGGATTCTTTCACTGCATGTGGATAGATTCTTAAAAGTAAATATGTAGCTCCATGGATTTAATTAACAGATAAAAGTTAAAAAAAAGTAGAGAAAACATTAGCAAATTAATATTCTATTTTTTAATATTAGCAGTTTGTTGAAAGTGAATTAATTTTAACGTTTATGAAGTTACTAATACACTAAATCTAGATGAAGCTCCTACTTACAATGTGGATGATGTTTGATGATATCAGTCACAGGCTATATAATATATGAAATGTGCGTATGTGCAATATATCCATATATATAGAATACAATCGATACCTTCTATTGATAAATTTGCTACAGAAAAAAATCACCAATGGTAGAAGTATATAGTGAGACTGCACTCCAACTTCACTAAACTTCACTTACTAAAACTCAGTATGAGATAGGTCAATCCCAAACCATATACAAGGGTGTTTGTGTTTAGAATAGTTTATACTATTATCCTACAGCATGTATGATGAGGGTGCCATTATAATGATTCTGTAGTGCATCTGAAGCTACTATAGTATGATTTCAATCATAGCAGCTAATTAATATGTTAATAACTATTAACCAGATTAGACTAACTCCTTGCTAAAGTCTCCTCTGGATGCTACTATACTGGTTATTATCAGCTTACCTAGAAGGTGGTCAGGAAAAGAAAAAAAGAACCTAGTCATTTTCTCTTCTTTCTGCTTCTTACAAGTGCTATTTGGTGAGAGAGGAAACTGAAACTAGAGTATGCTGAAATGTAGGGAATATCTGTACTTTTTTTAATACTTGTTTTCTCTCTTCATCATAAATAGTGCTATTTGAAGGCTGGATATGTCTTTTTGTGAAACAATGTACATTCCAGTTAACAGAAATTCTCAGAATAAAATAATACAAAAAAGGAATGGATTAATGCCTAGTGGTAGTTTAGAATTATATGTTACCTGGGTAAATTTTCATACCTGTGGTGGAAGTAATGGCAGCCTGATATAAGAAAGCAACATCGCTAGGTCCTGTTGTCTAGCCTGCACATCATGCCCCACCCAGTGCATCAGAGCATGGAATAATGTTTCTTCATCAGGCACATTAATGTCATCACTGCACAGAAGTTTTGAAATTTCATTAGCTGGAAGCAGGAGGAATTCTTGGTTCTTTATTACCTCAATGAAGTGTTCCTAGAAAAGAAAGATCTTTTACTGAAACTTTTACTTTAGAAATATCTTAACAAAATAAGCATATGAAAGCATTTCACATTGTTGAAATTAAGAAAATATGAGAGAGACAGATATATGCATTTATAACAAATAGATGTCATTGCTGCCTGTGAAAGAGGGTAAGGGGAACCTTCTGAAGCTGAGGAGCCAAATGTTTCCACTGAGAATTATTTATTGAACACAACAAAAGGTCTTAACTGTTTCACAGGCCACATGGGTAAGTGTTCGAGTTGTTACAAGTGCTTTTTCTCTCCAAGCTGTTGTAGGTAGCAACAGCTTATGACCCCGAAAGTGACTGATTTTAAGTTGATCTTTAGCCAAAAACCTTAAGAGGAAGGCTGGAAATTTTCAAGGTGGAGGCTATGTTGAAGACCTGGGAAAGGTAGCTTTGTGCATTTGAGGGGGCAACATACTGAATTCCTTTGAGATGAGATAAACAGATTAATGAAAAACTCTTCCCTTATGGAAAAACATGATCTTTTATTAACCAAGGCAAATATATATTTTACAATGGATAATATACAAATTTAGGACAATCTAAAAGGGATTCCGATGGAGTTATTTTTGGGAGGGAGGTGTTGGGGTTGTCTTTCAATTATTATATATTATTACTTAATTCTCTCTTTGTCACAGGGCTATATTTTATGAAGTATCAAATTTCAGGCCTTTGTATTTCAATTTTTTCATGAAAATACCACTATATTTTTCTTATTTGTAATGTTGCATATTTTTCTATGGCAACACAGTTATCATTCACAACATTTTTCAGAGTAAAAAAGGCTCAAGTTCTAAATGTGAAAAAATATACTTCCAAAATGGAGATAAACTTGTCTAGTTGGTAATTTATTTTGTACAATAAAGAGATAATCTTGAATCAGCTTAAAACAGCCTCTAAATAAATTGGGGGCATCTTGGATGAATCTAATCACTCCCTCAGCTCCACTCAGAGTTTAGTTATTTTGGAAGTGCCTTAGCTTAATAGTAAAATTATTCATACAAAAACCACTATTTGATAGCCCCATCAGGGAGCTCTAATACCATAAATTCCAAGCTAAACTGCCTATTTAAATGAAGAGCCCTTTTGTGATTCAGATGAACAATTGAGATAGGATGGTGTTTTTATTGTAGCCAGTGTCCCTGGTTGAAAACCCTCTCACCTACAGCAATGTAATGCAACTAGTACTACAAATAATAATACATTACATTTATACAGTACATCATACTTTCACAAACATTAAGTCAAAAAAATCCAGCCACATTAAGTCATCACCAATGTGATCTTGTGGGAGGTCAAATTATTCTGATGAGAAAACAGGCTATGTGAATTTTTTGGTTTCCTGTGCAATAAATGACAAAGTATAGGCAAAAACCTAAGTCTCCAGGTCTACTCCATTTTGTTCAACACTGTGACTGCCTTTCATAAGTGACATAATTTTTATGAATGGGTTAAGAAAAAAAACATAAAACAGTCTAAAAATGTGGTTACCTATTAGGTCATGTATGTAAACTCTGAGAGTTTATATCATTATGTCAATATGATAAAAGACCGTATATTCCATTCTCCTATCTACTCCCCAATGAAAGAAAAGAAAAATAGTAAATGAGACTGAGAGATAGAGTGAAGGAGAGAAAGAGATTGGCTCAGTTGTAAAACCTACTCAATAGCTAATGTGGATCATAGAAAAAGCTATCAAATTTGGTTATGCATTTGAAAAAAAGAAATTACTCAAATGATGTATATGATGATCACATTTATAGCAAGCAATTAGAGTTTAGGATAGAATTTGTTATGGCTCCAGAGAAACTTCCTGATGAGAATATTAAAATTGTTTGGCAATATAGTAACTTAGTCTAAATAAAAAAATAATATATTGGTTTAAATGATCTACATATGATACTTCATTATCCACTATTATGGAGAAATATTTAGTTAAGCTTAATGATTAATTTTAAATTGTTTTATTTTGGAATTATTTCGTTTCCAATTTCAAGGTAAACACTTTCTTTTATGTACCTTCCCAAAAGGTTTGATATTTATTTTTTTAATTCACACTTACCTTGTTGTTAAACTTACTAAATGAGCGCGTACCATACTTGCTGAGTGTTTCATCAATGCAGACTACTATTTATAGAATTATGATGGTTAATTTAATGTGTCAACTTACTTAACCACGGAATGTCTAGACTTTTGATCAAACATTATTCTGAGTGTGTCAGTGAGGATGTTTCTGAATGAAGCCCATTCTCTTTAGGGAGGGAGATCTGTTATACTCAGTCTATGATTCAAAGGTTTGTAATTGAGTCTTGAGAGATTAACATTATTCTTAAACATTAAAACTATTTGTATTTTATAATATCAATACAGTATTACAAAAGCATTATGATAGCAAGATCTTTGCCTACCTCGCTTCATTTATACTAGATACTAAGACAACTAAAGAAAGGTAGCTAAAAAAAAAAAAAGAAAGAAAGAAAGGTAGCTTAGTAAGACAATAGTATTTTTGTGCACATCCTACTTTAACACTCAGTTTCACTCACATAATAAGAAAAGGAAAACAAGTCACTTTGAGCAACAAAACATAATTCAAGCTGTTTATCAGAATGGGTTCTGTCTGTGAGAGTAAGATACCAGATAAGAAATTTAATATTTAGTTTAAGAATTTAAGTAAATTAACAAGTAGTTTTAATGTTTGGCTTTTGTGGTAGGATTAATCTTTGAACTATACAACTGATGTTCCTACAGACTATATGGCACCTGTATTTAGCACATAGGAGTATATGTAACACAGTTAGATTACATGTATTAAAAAACCAGGCCATTATAATATAATTCTCCCCATAATGGCATAGTTTCAGGACTTTGTTTAAAACTTCTAATTTGGAAAAATAACTAGGGATGGGAAAAAGGAGAAAGTTTTTTTTAAAATAATTTATTTATTTATTCATGAGACACACACATAGAGAGGCAGCGACACAGGCAGAGGGAAAAGTAGGCTCCCTGGGGGGACCCTGATGTCGGACTTGATCCCAGGATCATGCCTTGAACAGAAGGCAGAAGCGCTCAACTGCTGAGCCACCCACATATCCCAAGAAGGAGAAAGTTTTGCTAAGCAAATTTAAAGAATTCTAATATTAGAAAGTTGAAAAAATTAAGATCCGTATGAAATTCTAGCAAAATATTGTTTATACGCATCTCAATTCTGAATTCATATTGTTAGTTTTAGTTTTACATGTGATTCTCTATTGGTTGCCTTTATTTATCCATCTTTTATTTTTAAATCTTAAATAACTATAGCATTTTTGTAGTTGGAAATATTTAACTTTTTGTTTGGGTTTCACAGAAAGAGCCATCTGATATTTTTCTTGCTTCAGATGTTCAAAAGTTCATTTTCTTTTCATCATGGAATTATTAACATTAATGGTAATTTAATATCCTCTGACTACTTTTTCTTGCCTCCCTACAGACAATATATAATATATATTTCACCTCACTGTCACTTGACTGAATACAGATAGTCTTATCCCATGCATGTTTTAAAATTCTTTAAGGAATTAACACATACAAACATGTTCAGTTAATTTATTATAATTACTGATAGAATTGACAAGGATTTTAAGTTAAGTTTAGTCAAGTTAAAGGATTGAACTTCAAATTGTTTTTAACCGAAATAGATATTTTTTGTTACAACATAAAATATCCATTCAGAATTGGCTGATTTTGATAGTGCTTAAGTTCTTCTAGTTAACATTGGTATATTAATTAGTCTTTTCTTATTGAAAGTTATTTAACTTTCATTAGAAATCATAATGTATACAATTATAGAAACTTAAGTTCTAATATTACAAAAAGTCAGGGACAAAGAAACAAATACACTGATTTAACAATGAGCAGAAGCATGAATAGATATTTTTCCAAAGAAGACCTACAGGTGGCCAACATACACATGAAAAGATGATCAACATCACACATCATCAGAAAAATACAAATGGGGCAACCCTGGTGTCTCAGTGGTTTAGCGCCGCCTTTGGCCCAGGATGTGATCCTGGAGACCAGGGATCGAGTCCTGCATCAGGTGCCCTGCATGGAGCCTGTTTCTCCCTCTGCCTGTGTCTCTGCCTCTGTGTGTGTGTCTCATGAAAAAATAAATACAATATTTTTTAAAAAGAAAAATACAAATGAAAACGGCAATGAGATATCACTTGTCAGAATGGCTAAAACTAATAGCACAAGAAACAAAAGATATTGGTGAGGATGTGGAAAAAGGGGAACTCTCTTACACTGTTAGGGGGAATGCAAACTGGTACAACCACTCTGGAAAAAAAGGATGGAAGTTACTCAAATAGTTAAAAATATAACAGCCCCACCATCCAGAAATTGCACTACTATGTATTTACCTAAAGAATACAAAATAAACCACATCTTCTTGTGGTTTATGTATGCAATGGAATATTAGCCATTAGAAATGACAAATACCCACCATTTGCTTCAACGTGGATGGAACTGGAGGGTATTATACTGAGTGAAATAAGTCAATCGGAGAAGGACAAACATTATATGTTCTCATTCATTTGGGGAATATAAATAATAGTGAAAGGGAATAGAAGGGAAGGGAGAAGAAATGGGTAGGAAATATCAGAAAGGGAGACAGAACATAAAGACTCCTAACTCTGAGAAATGAACTAGGGGTAGTGGAAGGGGAGGAGGGCACGGGGTGGGGGTGAATGGGTGACGGGCACTGAGGGGGGCACTTGACGGGATGAGCACTGGGTGTTATTCTGTATGTTGGCAAATTGAACACCAAAAAAAATAAATTTATTATTAAAAAATTAATACAAAATAATTAGAAGGGGTACATGCACCCTAAAGTTTATAGCAGCATTAGCACAACTGCCAAAACATGGAGAGATCCCAAATGTCCACCAGCTTTTAAATGGATAAAGAATAAATTTATATATATATATATATATATATATATATATATATATATATATATATAACTCGATATGTATTATATATATACGCACAATGAAATATTACTCAGCCATCAAAAAGAATGAAATCTTGCCATTTGCAACAACATGGATGGAGCTACAGTGATGTAACAGACTCTTGTTCTGTAGAGAACAAACTGATGATTACTAGAAAGGAGGTGGGTGGGGGATAGGTTAAATAAGTGATGGGGGTTAGGAGTGCACTTGCTGTGAAGAGCACCAGGCACTGCATGTATAGTTGAATCACTAAATTGTACATTTGAAACTGATAGTGCTCTGTATGCTAACTGGAATGTAAATAAAAACTTAAAAGAAATCAGGAATAATATAATATAATATATTTTCCTAATACTGTGGATTCAATTGAAATATGTGCTTGGCTCAGCGGTTTAGTGCCTGCCTTTGGCCCAAGGCGTGATCCTGGAGTCCCACATCGGGCTCCCTGCATGGAGCCTGCCTCTCCCCCTGCCTGTGTCTCTGCCTCTCTCTCTGTGGGTCTCAAATGAATAAATAAATAAAATCTTTTAAAAAAAGAAATATGTACTTATATGATTTATGTTTTGCAGTATTTTCATTTCTCCAAGCTTTGAGATTTAAGTACACTTTTTCAATTTACAAAATGAGAAACATTGTTTCTCTTTGTACTCATTGTTTGAGTACAGCTTGAATTATATGAATAATTTATAAATAACTTGCACATAATGGATATTAGATAAAAATTTTGTCTGGTTCAAATTATATAATTATATACATTTTTATAGGTCTTTAATTTTATACCAACATTAGAATTTTTACTTTGCAAAGGCTGTATATATATATATATTATATATATATTATATAGTATATATACACACACTTATACATTATATATTGATATACACGTATATGCACATGTACACATATATATTAGTAAAGAAATCGGTAAGTTAGCTATTGGGTTAGTATAACATTATTACAAGTTAATTTGAAGCAATTTATTTTACCATTGTGTAATTATGTGCCACACTTAAGAGCTCTGTACAACCCTGGGCATCTCCAAATGACCGAATCCCTAAACAGTTTGAAGGATGGAGCTGCTTTATGAGAAAATTGGAGCAGACTTCAATGACTTGAGTCAGCTGCAAGAGACAAGCTGCAGCCAGCAAATTTTCAATAGTATCTTCTTTTAGCTGTAGGACACCTAGATGGTTTGAAAAAGTAAAGAATGATTATATGTCCAATAAAGTAAGACACAAATGTGCTCATTAGGTGAACTTTTCAATTTCTGTCATTACTAGGGCCATCTTTTCTAGGGCATAGCATTCACTATGGGAATACTTTTCAAGGTCGTCATATGCAAGGAAGTCCATAAAAACACTAATAAAATGGATGCAGGGAGCCAGGCTAGATTATCAAATGTAGCAAAGGAACAGTGAACACCATTATTGCAAAGAACAGTAATGTTATTTGTCATCTTAGACCTGCCTCTAAATCTTATATCAAAAATTGTAAATACTATGACTCAGGGAGTATTATATCATATTGTGTAAGGACCATACAATTGCCCATACAGGTAACTATCATTTGTAGGGCAATAATTTTTTTGATAAATAAGTAGAGCACTAAGATTATATGTCTATATTTTTGTGTGTGTGTCTGCATTTATTAACTGATAAGGATGAGTTTACTAAGGTATTATACCTGGAACTAACACCTGGCATTGTCTCAATTAAGAAAAATAATATTGCCAACAGTCCTCAAATAAATGTTTGTATGATCATTTTCTTAGATATAAAAAAGTGACTCTCTTTGAAAATGTCTATGAAGAGATTTTTTATAATGAGATCAGAGCTATTTATTTCCTTTATATGGAGATATTATATATATATACACACACACATATATATATAAATTTTCAGAGGTAGCATTGTTAATGACTTATTGCAAATGTTGTAAGTTATTTTCATAAGTTATATTCCTTTTTTTGTTTTAGCCAACCTATATGTAATTTTAAAAATGATATTTCATATGGGACATATATACTATAAACTATTTCCTTATATTTTTCCTTGTAAAATGTCTTAGTATGGATGCTATATGGTTTCATATGCATAAAGAAAAGAGAAATAGAGACTGTGATATGCTCTGTATTTGTTTCAACCTCTAAAATATGGTGCAAAAGGGTCTCATCCATCAGCAGACTTTTTTGAGTTGTTTTTTTTTTTTGTTTCTTTGTTTGTTTATTGTCATAGATTTTGATGGGAGACTGCTGCCTGTATCTCATGAGACCCAGAGAAGTTATAAACTATTCTCAGATACATATCTAAAGATTCACTTGCTACAGACATTGAAACTTGGCTTGATTATTAAAAATAATATTCATTTTTTAATGAACAAAATCATAAAGCTCCTAGAAGAAAACAGTAAAAAAATTCCTTGACATTGTTCTTGACAATTTATTGGATAATAAACCAAAAGACAGGCCACAAAAACTAAAATAAACAAGTGGGACTACATCAATCTAAAAATCTTCTGCATAGAGAACGAAATATAAAATGTATTGAAAAGGCAATCTGCAGAATGAGAGAAAAATATTGCAAACCATATATCTGATAAGGGGCTAATATCTGAAATATATAAAGGACTCCTACAATTCAATAGCACGAAAGCTAATAATCTAATTAAAAAAGATCAAGTAACCTGGATAATATTTTTTTTCCCAAAGATAACATACAAATTACCAATAGGGATATGAAAAGGTGCTTAATATCACTAATTACCAGTGAAATGTAAATCAAAACGCATAGCTGTTAAGATGGCTATTATCAAAAAGATAAGGTATAACCAATGTTGGTGAGACTTTGGAGAAAAGGAAATCTTTATGCACTATTTGTGGGAATGCAAATTAATAAAGCTTTATGGAAAATAATATGGTCATTCCTGAAAAAATTAGAAAATAAAACTACCATATGATCCAGCAATCATAATTATTTATACAAAGAAATGAAATCAAGATTTTTAAGATGATTTTATTTATTTATTCATGAGAGACACAGAGAGAGAGAGAAAGAGAGAGAGGCAGAGACATAGGCAGAAGGAGAAACAGGCTTCACGCAGGGAGCCCAATGCAGGACTCGATCCCAGGACCCCAGGATCACACCTTGAGCCAAAGGCAAACACTCAACCGCTGGGCCACCCAGGCATTCCTATGAAATCAGGATCTTAAGAGATATCTGCACTTCCATATTTGTTGCAGTATTATTTACTATTATTATTTACTTATTATTTACTATTATTATTTATTTGCTAAGATATGGAAACAATCAAACAACCTAAATGTCCTTCAAAGGTTGAATGAATAAAGAAAATGTTTATACATTTTTTTCTCTGATTTCACAGAAATGGCAGGTACATTGGTGGTTGCTAGTGGCTGGGAGTGGGGAAATGGGGAGGTTTAGGTCAAAGAGTGTAAAGTTTCAGTTATAATAGTTCTGGTGATCTAACATATAGTATGCTGTGTTTAGTTAATAACATGGTATTGGGTACTGTATACTTGAAACTTGTTGAGATATATCTTAAGCATTTTCACCACAAAAGGAAATTAACTATTTGAGATAATGTACATTATTATCTTCATCTTTGTAAACTTTCCACTTATATATGCATAGCAAATCATCACAAAGTATACTTTAAAATATGTATTTATCAATTGTCACTCAAGACAGTTGGAATAGATGAATACTTCTAATCCCCTAAACTTATCTTGTTACCTTTGCCTTATAGTTTGAGTAAATATGACTTTATTATTTCAAAAGAAGAGACTAAGTCTTTAATATAGACATGGAATACTACACTTCTAGTTTTACAAATGAGAATGGGGGCCATATGTGGCTCAGCTCGTTAAGCATCCAACTCTTGATTTCAGATCAGGTCATGATTGCTGGGTCTTGAGATAAAGCCCTGCATGGGATTCTGTGCACTGACCATGGAGTTTGCTTGAGATTCTCTCTCCTTCTCCCTCTGCCCCTCCTCCCGCTCCCGCTTGCACACACTTTCTAACTAACTAATAAATAAATAAATAAATAAATAAATAAATAAATAAATAAATCTTTTTTAAAAATGGGAATGTACCCACACCATTCAGGAGAGACATGTCCCTGTATTTTTGTGTTAAAATAGCTTTATTCTCTCATGGTCAAAAATTTTATGGCATATTATTCACCTCTTATTCTTTTATACTACTGAATTTAGACTTTTTTTTAAAATTTTTATTTATTTATCATAGTCACAGAGAGAGAGAGAGAGAGGCAGAGACACAGGCAGAGGGAGAAGCAGGCTCCATGCACCGGAAGCCCAATGTGGGATTCGATCCCGGGTCTCCAGGATCGCGCCCTGGGCCAAAGGCAGGCGCCAAACTGCTGCGCCACCCAGGGATCCCTGAATTTAGATTTTGATTCTGCCCCTTACTACCTTGGGAAAATTACTTAACTAGTTGATCCTTCAATTTTCTCATTTCTAGAGTAGGAATAATAATAATGTAGATTATCTAATATAGGGTATTTGTGATGATTGATTGACTTAATACATTTCACTTTACCTGTGTAAGCATACTGCACCAAGGAATTAAGTGCATTAGGATCAATTCCTTCCATCCTGACCTCTTCTTGTTTGGCTTCAAGCACATCATTAGTAAACATTGCAGCGAAATAATCAGACACTGCGCTGAGAACCAACCTTGAAATAGGAATGTTTCATAGGAATTTAAGTTAGTCTGTAGTTTCATCAAAAACATGAAATACAATCAGTAAGTTTGTAACACTGCTGAGTTTGTTATCCACATAAATTTTTCACAGTAAAGTGTAGTGAAATTAGAAAGGTAAATTAAGTAAGTTGATTTTCTTTTGAGGATTTGTGCTGTTTTAAATCAATTTCTCTAAAGTTTGGTTCTTCTAAATATCACACAGGGAAATGGAACATATATACTAATAGTTTTTCAGTGTAGGAAGATAAAAATATATTTTTCTTCAGTGTTCTAATTTGTTTTCAAAGGACCAATTCATTCTCATTGACATGCTATATTCACAAAATGATCTGTCTACATAAGGATGCTTACCGATGGGCTGGGATTCGGAGGTGTCCAGCAATAAGTAATACATCACACAGCTGTTCCTCTTTCAGGTAGTTCTCCATTTTGTGAAGAGTTTGCTCTGCGTGGTTTACAGCATGGAACTGCTCCTCGGACCTGCTGACATTCATAGCTTCAGGATTTTGTGTATTCAATCTGAAAGGGGAGTAAGAGGGAGAATATGATTTGCTGAGTGTGAAAATGTCCAGCAGAAATTTGGGTACATCAAATTCAGATTTGCCCTCCTATCTTAAATATTTCAGTATGATTACTGTCTAGCTTCCCATTAAAATGAAATGTGATGGTTCATATTTATACTTAGAATGGAATCATAAATGTGTATAGCACCATTGCAGGACTAGTGGTAATTTTTACATGCATAAACATAAACTTAAATATGCCAGCCTCTTTTTTTGTTTTTTATTGGTACCACAGTTATGTAATTAGGCATAAAATTGTAGGGATGATTCAAAAACTTTTCAAATTTGATTATGTCCTGAAGCTTCTCCATGGGATACTCATTATACATCAGAAATATTTCCCAAAGAATTTCAAACTTGAGTTCATAACATTCTTTACAAGGTCAGTGCCATCAAGAAAATATACAATTTCCATATTTTATATATTTTTTCCAGATTTATTGAGACATAATTAACACATAACATTGTGTGAGTTTAAGGTGTACAGTGTAATGATTTCATACATGTATAGATTGTGAAATTATTACCATGATAAGGTTAGTAAACACGTCTGTCACTTCACAGAGTTACCATTTTTAATGAATGTGCTGAGAACATTTAAGATCTAGAGTCTTATCAACTTTCAAGTATACAATACAGTATCGTTAACAATAGTCACAAGGATTGTTAAGTCCTCTTGTTGGATAGATCCTTTAAGTATGATATAGTGTCCCTCTTCGTCTCTCACTACTGTCTTCGGAGTGAATTTTAGTTTATCTGATATAAGGATGGCTACCCCTGCTTTCTTTTGAGAACCATTTGAATGGTAAATGGTTCTCCAACCTTTTATTTTCAGGTTGTAGGTGTCCTTCTGTCTAAAATGAGTCTCATGAAATGGGCAAAAGACATGAAGAGAAATCTCACAGAGGAAGACATAGACATGGCCAACATGCACATGAGAAAATGCTCTGCATCACTTGCCATCAGGAAAATACAAATCAAAACCACAATGAGATACCACCTCACACCAGTGAGAATGGGGAAAATTAATAAGGCAGGAAACAACAAATGTTGGAGAGGATGCGGAGAAAAGGGAACCCTCTTACACTGTTGGTGGGAATGTGAACTGGTGCAGCCACTCTGGAAAACTGTGTGGAGGTTCCTCAAAGAATTAAAAATAGACCTGCCCTACGACCCAGCAATTGCACTGTTAGGGATTTACCCCGAAGATTCAGATGCAATGAAACGTCGGGGCACCTGCACCCCGATGTTTCTAGCAGCCATGTCCACAATAGCCAAACTGTGGAAGGAGCCTCGGTGCCCATCGAAAGATGAATGGATAAAGAAGATGTGGTTTATGTATACAATGGAATATTACTCAGCCATTAGAAACGACAAATACCCACCATTTGCTTCAACGTGGATGGAACTGGAGGGTATTATGCTGAGTGAAGTAAGTCAATCAGAGAAGGACAAACAGTGTATGTTCTCACTCATTTGGGGAATATGAATAATAGTGAAGGGGAATATAAGGGAAGGGAGAAGAAATGTGTGGGAGATATCAGAAAGGGACACAGAACATAAAGACTCCTAACTCTGGGAAATGAACTAGGGGTGGTGGAAGGGGAGGAGGGCGGGGGGTGGGGGTGAATGGGTGACGGGCACGGAGGGGGACACCTGACGGGATGAGCACTGGGTGTTATTCTATATGTTGGTAAATTGAACACCAATAAAAATTAATTTATAAAAAAAAATAAAAAAAAAAATAAAAACTCAAAAGATAAAAAAAAAAAACAATAGTCACAAGGCTGTATATTAGATCTCCAGAGCTTATTCATGTTTTTTTCCCCAGACCAATAGATTTTATTTTATTTCTTTCCTATTTTAATTTAAATTCAATTAACCAACATATAGTAGTACATCATTAGCTTCAGATGTAGAGTTTAGTAATTCATCAGTTGCATATAACACCCAGTGCTTATCAACATACCCTCCTTAATACCCATCATCCAATTACCCCATACCCCTGCCCACCTCCCCTCCAGCAACCCTCAGTGTGTTGCCTATAGTTAAGAGTCTCTCATGGTTTTTCTCCCTCTCTGATGAATTCCCATTTAGTTTTCCCTCTCTTCCCCTATGATCCTCTGCACTGTTTCTTATATTCCACATATAAGTAAAACCATATGAGAATTGTCTTTCGCTGACCACTTTCACTCAGCATAATACCCTCCAGTTCCATCCACGTTGATGTAGATAGTAGGCATTCATCCTTTCTAATACACATCCATTGTGTATATATATGCCACATCTTCTTTATCCATTCATCTACTGATGGAAATCTTGGCTCTTTCATCTTCTAACTGGAAGCTTGTACCACTTGACTATTTAGGCAAATATGATGACTTGAATTCACAATGATGCAAGTTGTCTTCATGTTTTCTCAGCATCACACAATGGTGGAATTTAAATACTAACACAAGCATATAGAAGCTTATGATCAGTAGAAGATTAAATCCTTAATGGTTGGATGAACACAAATACTTTGCTTATGGTCTTTGTTTCTTTTGGGCATCATTTTACAATCATTAGTTTTAGGTTCCCCCACCCCCAATTCAGCCTGTGTTTCTCTGAAGACAATTGGGCCAGGGTGACGTTATTCTCTGTTTAATTTAAATAAATGATTCATCTCTGAATCTTCTTTTTTTGTCTCTGAATCTTCTTAACCTCTAAAGACTCTTTGGGACATTCAGTCACAGTATTACACGGATAATTAGGTTGGCATGGTATGAATATCCTTAGAAATTGTCTGCTACAAAATGTGTTTGTTTTTGAAAGGAACAATACTTTTTCACCATAGGTTAAAAAGCATCCAGGTTCCCCTTAACTCAGTTACCATAATCTTTTCTCTGCTCAAATAATGGTTTGGTTTACATTGAGTCAATCAAATGTTCAATGTCAATGCCGTATTATCTTAGCATTCCTCATGTATATTCCATCATTTATTGCAGAGGAGCATATTCTAAAGCAGGAATATATTTTGGGAAGTTCTGGCCAGGAAATAATATTATTCTGTGAAATTTCTTCAGCCTAATTTGGTTAAGGATGAAAAAATCATCTTTAATTATTAACTATTTGGGGATGTATTTACTTGGGCATGCAAATTTATTAGATCTCTGCAGTATTTTTTATGATTAAAATACAGATTTTTAGAATCTAAAAATCCTATCAATATGAACCATGCATAATTTTGTTATGTTTCCAAATACAAAGGCAACTGCATCTTGTGTCTCATTAAGAAATAAGAAATTAGGGGCATCTTGGTTGCTCAGTGGTTGAGCATCTGCCTTCAGCTCAGGTCATGATCCCAAGGTCCTGGGATCCAGTCCCACATTGGGCTCCCTGCAGGGAGCCTGCTTCTCCTACTGCCTAAATCTCTGCCTCTCTCTGTGTCCCTCATGAATAAATAAACAAAAATATTTTTAAAAAATATTATAAAAAATAAGAAATTAATATTCAAAAAATTTGGCTATATCAAACTATAACATCCAAAATATAACATGCATAGTAACCAAAATTATAAAATATTAAAATCTATTTGTGGTCATCACCTAACCAGAATATAATAAAACAAGCCAAAAAAGCATACCAACAATTAAAACTAAACTTTTGAAAAACAACCCAATCTGAATAAGTTCCCAGAGCTCATAAACTACAATTCCCTTGTCTCCATTTTAAATACTGTAATGTCAGGTCAGATGTTATAATGGAAGCCAATGCATTAGAGAATGTTCTTCCCTTTTCATTATTGTATGGTATATAGATGGTGACAGGAGAGGCAGCATGCTGAAATGGAGAAAAAAACACTAAAATACCTAGATTTAGTTCCTGCCCTTGTACATACAAGCTGAATGATCTTGAGCAACTCACTATATCTTTCTAAGCTTTAATTTTCTCCTACAAAATGGAGATAAAAATAATACTAATACCAATACTACCAAAAGTAATGCTTATGTCACAGGGTTCTTCAGATGATTATATGAGAAAATGTACATAAAAATTTCTGTACATTTTTGTAAATTTGTGATATAATCAGGTATATATGATTACAATAAGTTTTTATGACTTTAGGCTTTTATATGTAATGTTAGTGATAACCAAAAATGAAATATCTATAGAATATTCACAATTAAAAATGAGGAGGGAATTAAAACATTTCAATTCAAGAAAATCAACAAGTAGAAATAAAGGCAGTAATGGAACAAATGAAGAAGTTAGTACAAGATATATAGACTTTGGAATAGCAAAATGGCATTAAATAAGAAGTGAAGAAATCTGACTAAAGTATGGACTTTAGTCAATAATAATACAGAAAAACATTTTTCTGTAATCTTATGTTAAGTTCATCCTGACTACAAAGATGTAATTATTTCCATAAATATATTTAAAATGTTTTTATCTGGAATTGTTATTCATTAATTAATAGACTACAATTTTAGACTACAATTTTTACAATTAGACTATAATTTAGTCAATTAATAGACTAAGTTATAGAATTGTAAAAAAATTGAGAAGTAGATAATTCTTTACTTGGGTGTCATAATTATGGAAGAGTGTACTGGTAGCAAATAGGTAGAGACCAAAGATACTAGTAAACACCATATAATGCATAAGACAGCCCTTTACAATAATTGTCCAGCCCAAAATGTCAATATTTCCAAATTTGAAACACTCTGGTCTACCTCTTAATCCTATAGTTAGCTTTTTAAACTTTTGAGAGCAGAGGCTATGTTTAAAAACATTTAAAGGATGAACCTAATAAATATTTTGTACACAATGAACATGTAATCACTGATTTCGTATTTAAGCCTAATTTCAGTGATTAAATATCGTACATTAATGTTTTTTACTATGGCAAAGTGAATAAATTTATTGAGTTTTGAGAATGAGGAGGGATATTTGGACTATCATTACAAAGAA